AGCATAGGGGCCAGACAGGTACATGACTATTTTCACATGGGGTTTCTATGTATAAGGAAGTCATTGCCCACCTCACATTAACAATAATCAAACTCAGATACAATGAATATATGAAGTTCATATATTTTGAACTGCGGTATTAAATACGTATGATGCACGATCCTTCGTAGTAGATAGCGCTATTTATGCAATAGCGAAAATCAGACCTGAAAAATCAGGCCTGTACGGGATTCGAACCACTGACCTCTGCGATACTAGTGCAGCGCTCTACCAATTGAGCTAACAAGCCAACTGGGAGCAGGCCGTTANATCTCCCCCCCCCCCTGCTAACCAGTACCCATACTTACACCTGGAAAAAGTGAGGCACTTTGAGCTTACAGTATCTTGCTCAAGAATATAATGAAATGCTCCAACACTAGACACTAATACTGGTCTTGGTGAAACTGAATTCATTACTGCCTTGTCAAAAGCCATAGAAACTATGTATAACGTCAGACATGAGTTACTACTTCATGAGGATTTCAACATGGAATTATATGATAAGGATGACAGGATTCCAAACAAGACTCTTCTAGATTCATTGTCAACGCTATAGTCTTGAGAATCAAATCAAGATCCTACGCGTGTAACGGAAAAATCTATGACATCAATGACGTTATTCTCACGAGTCACAATTAAAGGTTTGCAAGAGCGGGTAATTTACACCTTGGTGTTAGTGATCATGACTTGATTTTTGCTATTAGAAGAAATAAAATGCCAAGACCTAAGCCACGTCACATTACATATAGTAACATGAAGAACTTTAACGAAGCAGAGTTTCTTAATGATTTAAAATCGGTCCCTTGGCATACAGCTTACGCCTTCGAAGATTCTAATGACATATGGGACCATTTTCTATCATAATAAACTGTATAAATTGCACAGGAAGAATCTATATCCATGCACATGGAATTTATATAAAGTTCAACGCTACAAAGTGACATCAATGAAGCGAAAAGCATTGTATTATTTCTGTAGGCACGCAGCAAATGACTCGAAACATAAGCGAATTTTGAAAACGAATGAATCCTTTTATTGCCAAATACCAGAAGCAAGGCTCACGACAAAATCATTCTAGTTGAGAAAGATCATGTTATGACTGACTCAAAGACTATAGCTGAGAGTTTCGATTCCTATTTTATTGATATGATCAATCATAATTTTCAAGATTTGGAATTTAATGTACATTCTAGTGTGTCATTGATTCGCAACATGGAACAGCTAGATGACTTTGTATTTACTCCTGTTGACATAAAGTGCAAACAAAGCATCCTGGAACAATCGAGTCCAAGAAAATCTGTTGGCATGGATAACATATCTTCACGTCTGCTGAGGCTATCTTGTCCAAGCATTTCTACTGAAGTTACAAAGCTCATCAACCATTTTATATATACTCAAAGTATACCTAGAGAATGGAAAAGCAGTAATATTACGCCAGTATACAAGAAAGGAAGTAAACAGACAAAGCCAATTACAGACCGGTTTCCGTCCTAACCACATTATCAAAAGTCTTTGAAAAAGTTGTCTATGATCAGACCTATCCAGTTATGTGACCTCTACTGTCCCGCAACCTATCGGGATACATGAAAGGTCATTTGTGTGCAACAGCAATTTTCAAGATGACTGAGGATTAGCGTGAAAGTTTGGACAAAGGAGAAACCATCGCAACTGTATCAGTAGATCTCAGTAAAGCGTTCGACAGCGTAAAGCATGATTTGCTGTTGGCTGAAATACGAGCTTACGGTTTTTCTGAAGCAGCAACAAAATTGCAGGATAAAAACCTGACAGATCGTCGAAAAAAAAGAGTTAAGATTGATGGCATATGCTCTGGCTGGAGAATAGTTACAGCGGGCGTGCCACGGGATCTTTACATGGTCCACTTTTGTTCAATATTTTCATAAATGATATAAATTATTGTACATCTAATATGGCGCTGAGATTATATGCTGATGATACCACCAGCTATTCGTCTAATGGGTCTTCTATAGCATTGCAGTTTATGGTCAACCAAGACTTGTCAACCCTTACTACATGGTTTAAACAAAATTAACTCTCTATTAACAAAACAAAGACTCAGGCCATGATTCTTGGTTCTTCGACAAATGAATATGAGATCCAAATTAATGAAATCAAAGTAGATGTTAAACCTCCTTTGAAAATCTTGGGCGTCACCTCGGATAAAAGGCTTACCTTTAAGGAGCAAATCCCTGAACAGCTTAAAAAAGGTTATGCAAAGACTGCTGCCTTAAAAAGAATTTCCTGAACCATATCGATGAACACAATGATATTATTGTACAAAGCATTCATTGCCCCACGTTTAGAATATTGTAGCATATTATTTATTGGTCTTGGCAAAGTGCAGGCCAATAGACTTGAAGACGCTAATTATTACATTTTAAGAACGTTATTTAAAGTTAAAAAGAACAGTTATGAACGTCTTTTAGAATTAGTTAAATCAAGCACTTCAATACGGCGTAGGTATTACCAGACATTGATCTTGATATATAAATGCCTTAATTCTATTGGTCCTAGTTATATTACGGACTTTTTAAATTTAAGACATGCTGGCTATAATCTCAGTGGTCATGGCAGTAATCTAGCTCAATCTCATTTTAATTCGGAGTGGCTGCATAAATCTTTCTCCTTCATTGCCAGTAAGCTATGGAATAAGTTATCTATGGAAGTTAGGAAAAGTGAAAACATCAAGGCTTTTAAAACAGCTTTGAAGAAGTTTGACTTAGAATTGCTTTTTTAGGAGGCATGTTTGATAAAAGAGCTAACGATATTTAATTGAACATTATAATAGTTATAGTAGTTGGGGATTTCTTCACTATTAAACATTTCATATATAGATCGGGTTAGAAGGGACGGTTAATTAATGATGAATTATACATTACAGTAGTTATAGTAGTTGGGGATTCTTACTGCACATTTTCGGGTTGGAAGGGACAGATCATAAATCATCAATTGTAAAAGATTACGATTTTCATACTTTTTATTATATCTTATAACATTTTTTTAGTATTTAGCACGTGCACGTTCTTACGAGCTTTGTCGTAAGCTCTTTTGTGTTCAACGTGGATAAATAAACCTACTTACTTACTTACTTACTAATGTTGAGTCCAGTGCACTAACCATTCAGCCACCATGCCTCCTCCTCTGATCCTTATGATTAGAGAGGGGTAAATGGGGTCAATTGGTTTTAAGGTGGAACCCTTATAACAATGTGTAACCAATAGCGACTTAAGTTTCCCTGTCTGAGAAAGTGTTCCAGGAGCCAAAAGTGATGGTCAACCGATTTGGCTGAAACTTGGCACAAAAGTCAAGTGTGGTAAGATATTTCAAAAGCCACTTTGGCTCGCTTATCTGACCGTTTGTTCGGAGGTTTCAGGGGGGTCCCATTTGTGGCCTATGGAACACCAAAAATTCATCCTTCTAGGTGGCATTTTGAAAGTGCTTTAAAACTCCATTGGTAAATTGTGCTGCCAAATGAACCGACCCTGGACTCTACTATAGTGGAGCTTTTACTTCATAAATGTAACTCTGTTCTCAAGCTATTAGACAGAGAGGGGCCAAGGGCTAAAGTTAGGTCAAATTTGAGGTCAAAATCACTACCCAAAATTGCCATTTTTCAAAACACCATAACATTCACCTGCCTACTTAAATAACTTTCATACCAGATCCAGTATGTACTTTAGTGACCCATTTATCAAAATCAGTTGTGAAAAATTTGGCTTATTGAGGTTTGTTAAGTTTTTGGCACAAACTCTTTATGCCCCTCTAAGGCCAAACAAAATGGAATTTCGAGCATAATTCATGCTATGAACAGACTAAAGTCTCGACATAACGCCTCTATTTTAGTGAGTGAAAATGAAACATTAAAGCCAAATCAATGTCATCATTATCTAGAAATACTTGGACTCATAGCTTATAATTGCTCTAAGAAGGCCTCTGATTAGCACTGCAAACAGCTAGCGGTGTAGCAAAAGGTATTTTTTTCTTTCAAAACCTAGTACCCATCATAGAGCACAAATAATGATGTTCTGACCTAGATATTGCAATATTTTTTAAAGATGATTGAATATTCTCTGGTCTATGTTTATTAGGCCATATATCCATACGTATTATACTCCAGGCATGCAAAGTTTTTATTTTGTCAGGCCGTTTTTTAATTGGAAATAAAGTGATTTTAACCCGGCCGACCTTAACCATAATTCTCAGAATAAAACGATCGTTAAAGGTGATCTACGCCTGACCTTTGAATAGACTGAATAGCTCTCGCAAATACCCATCACTTAGCGAGCATGACCATAGGCTTACGTGCCGTAGTGAGCACCGTCCAGGTGACTACTGATCCACCAGAGATCTTAGGTACTTTAGAACTGAATAAATGGAACCATCCAACAAAGAGGGAATCCACAATCAGAAAAGCTGGATGACAAAAAGTTATTGTTGCTGTTTAAATGAAATATTCCTCACGAGACATGATGTTACTACAGCGGTACTGTAGTAAGCGATTAGCATGGTCAGCGGTTATCACCAATCTGCCAGGTGATAGCCCAACCACTAGAGCTACCATGTTTCTGTCCTATCACAAATGTGATGCGTAGTTTCCATCAATGTAACACTCTGGCCATCTGCATTTGTCAAGGAGAACTTAAGTTGTTATCTTAAGATTAAAGTACTGCATTGATCTTGCGAATAACAACGGTGGTATTTTTTATCGTCGAAACTCCTTCGGAAGCAAGTGCAACGTTCGGGAGCAGCCACAATAACAACTTAAACAACTACTCGTCGAGAATACGAGGATGGCCGAGGCGAACAGTTCAAATCCTGTTGGATGCTGGTTGATCTTGTTTCCGTGAAGAAGGTTCGGATCGGATTTTCAGGTGGTTTTGAGGTCTATTTCCTCACTTAAGAAGTTCACGTACGTCAAATCAGTCTGGATTCAGGAACTCGTCATGTCTCAAGAGTCAGGTCAGAGGTCTGAGAACGCAATTGCTGAAGTAGTGGTAAGTGCTTCTTTTATTTCTCACGTTGATGATGAATCAAGTGCTTCTATGGAACCAAGGAACATTTCGCTAATGAATTATTGCATGTTGTGAATGACAATTTACATCTTGACTTTACTGAGCCTTCTGAAGAAAATGGAACGAGTCATATGACTGTGGTACAAAGAAAGTCCTCTTTTGAGGTACCCCGAAGTAGAACGCTAACTGAAAAGTGTCTTCAGCATTAAATCGACCTGAAAGTAAACAGTTTTAAGTCTAAGAAAACTGTACTTACCAAAAAAATTCAGGAGAACCTTGCTTCTTCGAGGAAGGTGTAGTAAAGTGTATGTATGGAACCAGGAACAAAGCAAAGCCCAAGTACTCTGGAGTGAAGTTATGGATTTGTATCATGAGATCAAAGAAGTTGCTTAGGGTCAAGAAATTGTTTCTGTTAACGCTATTTGGGAGCAAGTGCCTAGTGAATGGAGAAGTTTTGAAAAGGATGTAAGGGAGGAAATAAAGTACTTGAAGCAAGCAACATTGGAATCTTGTTCTGCAAGCTCTAAGGGTTGTAATAACAGCAAACAAGTAAATAAAGTGGTTGGTCTACCATCAATTCTGAATCCCAGACTAAGATTAATAAATCTGAGCTTCAGAAGGAAAAGGCAGCCTTAAAGGTCAAGATAGCCTTCACTAAGCAAGAAATGGAACTGAAATTGGCAAAGGCACTTCAGGAACAAAAGCTGGAGAAATTTGAACTGTTGAGAGAACTTGAACTTAACAAAGCTAAGCTAAATGTCTGTGAAGAGACTGAAAGAACAAAAATACCTTCACTTGATGAAGACTCAGATACCCTCCCATCTGAGAGTGAGAAGGAGGGACTAGAAAGATTCTTCAAATGATTACCAACCCCTACTGGTGCTGATGCCACCTGCAAGTTGGCTTGGGCTAAAGTGACCCAAACCTCAGCAGTAGCAACCATGGCCACACCACCACAGGTCACAAGTAACCAGCAAATTTCTGCTCCTGTATTCTCTCCTGGTATCTCAACACAACCTGTGTCTTCCCCTCATCATTCCGATCATAAGGAAGTTTGCTTATCCACTCCAAAGGTGGTGTCTTGTGCTCAAGTTGTTACATCAACAGTTAGCAATCCTGTACGAGTTACTGCTACGTTCAGCCAACCATCTGTCTCACCAGTGGTAACTACTGCATCTTAATTCATTGTTTGATCGAGGCATTTATCCCCAAGGTCAAAGAACTTCTCCCAATAGTGGATTGGAGGGAATGGCAACTTCATTAGAAAGATGTAGGGAAAGGTTGGCTAAGGTTAATGTTCAGCAAAGTACAGTGATTAAACAGTTATTTGTGTCTGGTCAGCTTCCAAAGATTACCATACCCATATTCAGTAGTGATCCTCTCCAATACCCAGTTTGGACAAGTGCCTTCAATGCCCTTGTTGACTCCAGGCTAATGGAAGCAGACATCAAGTTGAATATGTTGAATCAGTTTGTAACAGGAAAGCGAAAACAAGTGATGGAGCATTATCTTCTGATAGGTACAGAAGATGCTTACCAGAAAGCCAAGTCCATACTACAAGAAAGGTATGGGAACTTTAATGTTGTGAGTACAGCACTTATTAGCAAACTGGAGAAATGGCCTAAGATAAGGCCCAAGGATGCTGTTTCCCTGAGAGAGCTCTCAGGTTTCTTGGACAAGATCTTGGCAGGAAAAGAAACCAAACGCCAGGTCTTTCAGTGTTAGACTATGCAAAGGAGAATGTCAAGCTGTTGGCTAAACTACCTTACTACCTTGAGATTAAGTGGAGGAGTGCAATCTAGCAATTGAGACTTACCCATGGCGAAGCTGGCTACCCGACCTTTTCCAGGTTTTCCAGTTTCATCGGAGAAGCAACAGATAAAGCGAACATACCTGAACTAGGACGCTTGTCCAATTCAAGCTGTCCAAATTTTAACAGTAGGTAGACGCCAGATAGGAAAAACGGTAGTTCCCTCGCTTTAGTATCTTGTAGGGAACTTATAGACCACACGGAATCCGCATTGCGACGCTCTCTTTTATTCTCTCGCACACTCGCTTTGTATACATTACACAGCATTACCCCCGTGCCTCATACTAATTAGATTTCGTCAAGACCGATATTATTACACAAACACTAAATCCCTTCCTTGATTGAATTTAAAATCAACCATAATCCGTAGTGCTATTTTCGGTAAATAAGCGAAACCAACAGAACTCATTAGCATACTAAAATTTGCAGTTGTTCATTCAAAGTTCATTGACAACTGTTCAGTGTAACTGATAGTCCCTCAGATGTGCCGGTGCACGTCTGACACGAGCAGATCTTCGCGTATCTTGTTCTGCTGCCCGTGGAGGATTCATTACCTGTGGAAGATCACAATCCATCACATAATCATCTTCCTCCCGTACAGCAGTGTTCTGGTGCAACTTGTGGACATGCGATACATTGTGCATGAACACACGTCCATTTCTTCGCAGCAGAATAAGGCTCGGTCCCTTACGTTCTAGCACTGTGTAGGGTTGAGGGTCATACAGCGTTGATAGCTTGTTCTGCCGCACCTGCTGTAACAGCACTTTGTCTCCTGATTTGATGTCTGATGGACTCGCTCTGTTTCTCTTGTCTGTATAAACCTTTGTGCCCTGCTTGGCTTGTTGGTTCTTACCCTCTGCCTCCCGGCTAGCTCAATGGATAGAGCGCTGGACTGATGTGCGGGAGGTCGAAGGTTCGAGCCCCGGCCGGACCAACACTCAAGGTCTTAAAATAATTGAGAAGAATATGCTGCCTTTCTATAACATCAAGAAATGGTTAGATAGGGATAGGGGCGAATAAATGGAGGTCCCGTCTCCTGCAGGGTTAGGGGTAGGAGACGTTAATTTCCCACGCACGAGATTACTGCGTGATGGATGTCCTCGCCTGGGGTGGGATGGGTGGGTTGTTGTCTTGCGTTTCATACATGAGCCTCTGGCCCGGGCAATTGATTACTGTAGTGCAGAAGATACAGCATTCGACATCTGTATCTGAGTTTGTGGTACTTTGGTTCTGACTTCACGTCCTCAATGTAGAATCGCCGACGACGCTCCTGTAGTTGCATGAGGTGTCGCACGGTAGTTAAGTAGGAAGGCAAACATGTCAGTGCGCCAATCCTTTCCTTCAGCATGCGCAGTGCGAATTGCCTTCTCAATTGTCTTGTTAAATCGTTCAACCCCTGCATTCGCCTGAGGCCAGTAGGGTGTGACCTTCCGATGCTGGATGCCATGCGTTGCCAGGTACACCTCAAATTCCTCTGACACAAGATTTGCACCGTTATCTGTGACTACTTTCTCTGGAAGCCCATGTACAGCAAATATCTTCCGAAGATGGCCGCAGAGGTTGCTGGGCATTAGCTAAGACTGTTTGCCAGAGGGTACTAGGCATGACAATACGATGTCCTCGCAAGATGATTCCATTGGTCACGCACAGTTCATCTCTTACCCGCCTTAAGGGCCTGAGCTCTGGTGTGTTTAGCCACTCACAGTCACTCAAACAGCATCGTACTTGGTGTAGTATTGGGTCTGCCTCAGTAGCATTTGCAATCTGCTCAAGTGTGAGTGCTTTGGAACCGCGTTTACTGTGACGTCGTTAATGTATTCTTCCGCGATGTTACTTTCGTGGAACGGTGGGTTTTCTAATGGCAATCTTGGGAGTACGTCAGCTTGGTCTCGCCTTTAGTGGCGGTCCCAAAGTCTAATGGGGACGTACGGGTTTGTGTCGACATCCGTCGTTCAAACGAAGCTGTGATCAGAGAGCGACATCCAATACCAACACTTGAGGAAACACTGGAAGCACTTAATGGAGCACGTCATCACCGATATTATTACACAAACACTAAACTTGCCACATCAGCTGCGGTAACCGTTTAGCAGATTCTAGTGGTGCTAGTAAACCAAATCACTCTGGTCCAGCCAAAGTGAAGAGCTGTCTGTTCTGTGGCGCAGTACATAAGTTAGAAGATTGCAGTGACTTCCGTAATTAGCCTTTCAATGAAAGGAGAAACTCCTTCTTCCAAGAACGTTTGTGCATGGGATGTGCATCCAGTAGCTTTCACTGAGTTGTTAACTGTGGAGCAAGATTGAATTGCAGAACTTGTTCACAAATACATCCCACCTGCCTTCACAGAGAACGAACACAGAACAGTGCAGATGTCTCGAATTGTATGAGTGTATGTTAACTTCCGAATTAAAACAGTGGATTTGATCACACTATGACTGTACCAGTGTGGGTCAGGCCAGTGGGAGAGCCAGAAAAGGAAATATTGCAGTGTGCAGTCCTAGACGACCATTCAAAGGTCGGTTTCGTGTCTGAAACTCTTTGAAAACGGTTAAATCTACAAGGGCCGTAAACTGAGCTCCTAATGACAACAATTCAAGAAAAAAACGCACGTATCCATACCAGAAATATTTCCGGCCTAGAAGTCTTGGATTATCACAGCGAATGTAATGTAAAGATGCCAATGGCCCCCTACCCGAGAACTTGTGTCAGCCAATCGATCACAGATTCCAAAACCTGAAGTGGCCAGAGAGTGGTAATACTTGAAGAAAATTGCTGGAAAGTTGACGCCGTATCATCCAAATGCAGAAATTTCTATCCTGATTGGAAACAACTATCCGAGAGCTATCCGACCGAGAGAAATAATTTCTGGAGATGAAGATGAGTCGTACGCTCAAAGAACTGTACTTGGTCAGGGAGTGATTGGAAAGGTCTGCAGGTCGTGTGATGATGAAGATGGAAACATGGGTGTGCAATAGAGTCTCAGTTTCAGAAATCTCTGGCCGCTTTGTCTTTTCCACGAAGGCCAAGGAGATCATTGATTCTAAAAAGAATCTCCGTGTGTCAGAAACCGACTTTGTGGAGACAAGTACTAAAAGCAAACCTTATTCCATGGAGGATGAAAAATGTCTTAGGATTCTAAAGGACGGAGTGAAGAAAGGATCAGAAGGACATTATGAAATGCCACTCCTCTAAAATCTGACAATGTATCGCTTCCCAACAATCGCCAGCTCGCGGTGAAGAGGTGGAACCAATTGAATGCCAGGTTCAAGAAGAATCCGAAGTTCTTCTCTGACTACCAGACCTTTATGAAGGACTTAATCTCTCAATGTGCACAAAGAGTTCCTGTGGATCGTATTAAAGTGCAAGATGGTAAAGTCAATTCCGTCCCACATACAGGAATCTACCACCCAAAGAAACCGGGACAGATAAGAGTGGTGTTTGATTGTTCAGCCCAGTATAACGGAGTCAGCCTTTATGACTACTTGCTACAAGGACCTGACTTTATGAATGATCTGCTCGGAATTCTGTGTCGTTTCCACATGGAAAGTGTAGCATTTATGACGGACATTAAGAGTATGTTCCATCAGTTCGTGGTTGCTAAGAAACACAGGGACCTGTTGCGTTTCTTGTGATGGCTGAATGGAGACCCATCAAAGGAAGTTGCTGAGTACCGTATGAAGGTTCATCTGTTTGGTGCCAGTAGTTCAAGGTTGTGCGAGCTTCGGGCTTAGGCGAGCAGCCGACGATGGTGAAGAAGAGTTTGGTGCAGATGCAGCCGCGTTCATACGCAACAACTTATATGTGGACGACGGCCTGAAGTCCTTATCAACAGTCCCTGAAGCCATCCAGTTGATGAAGAGCAGCCAAGCCATCTGTGCAAAGGCCGGTCTCAGGTTACACAAGACAGTGTCTAACAAGAAAAAAGTCTTCCGAGCCTTCCCGGTTGAAGCCCGTGCCAAAGGATTCAAGGAACTGAACTTAGAAGTGGATCCCTTGCCAATTGAAAGGGCCCTAGGCGTGATGTAGTGTATAAAGAACGACATTTTTCGGTTCCGTATTGAAACTCGTGATTGCCCTTTCACCCGACGAGGCGTCTTGTGAACCGTTGGCTCCATATGTGATTCTAATGGGCACATAGCCCCTGTAATACGGAAAGGAAAACAGATACTACTGCAGATGTGTAGAGATAAGTTGGACTGGGATAGCCCCATTCCTAAATATCTGCGCCCACAGTGGGAGAAGTGGCGACAAGAAATCACAGAGTTGGAGAAACTAGAAATACCGCGATGTTTCAAGCCAAACAATTTTGGCCCCGTGAAAGCAGTGGAAATGCAGTACTTTTCATATGCTTCAGTGGATTGTTATGGTCAATGCTCTTATCCTAGAATGATTAACGAACATGGCCAAACTCACTGTAGCTTCGTTGTTGGAAAGGAACGTGTAACGCCCCTAGAACAAGACGATTCCAAGATTGTAGTTAGCTACTGCTAACACCTCAGCAAGAATGAGTGACTTCGAGAGAAAGGAGTTAGAGTACCCAGAGATCCAAGAGTTCTTCTGGACAGACAGCCGAGTAGTTCTCGGATACATTAACAATGAAGCCAAAAGGTTTCACTTTTACGTTGCTAATATAATTCAGCAGATACGTGACCTAACTGATCTAAACTCCTGGTTCTTCATTGACACGAACACTAACCCTGCGAACGACGATCGTTAAGCCTTCTCTGCTGGAAAATTCTCGTTAAAAAGTAAGCAATCCTTTTAGCTAATGCAGGGTCTTCGTTTTCGTAGTGCGAAAACGAAGACCCCTGGTCGTACATATCCGTGGAAGAAATAAACTTTCTGGACATAAAAAGGCTATTTTACCAATTCGTTTCGAAGATTTCTTCTGTTCTTCAACAAATTGTAAATCGTCAACTCCATGGCCATGAGAAATTCCCACGCGCATGACCCCATTCAAACCTCTTCACCTAGTGTCACTCAAGGCGTAAAACTTTTTCGTTGACGAAGAAACGCTCGTATTTAACGGCTCCTAACGAGGGCTTGCTCTCGCATTAGTCTAGCTAAGTTTGGAGCTGGCGCTGAACATCGTTATATACTAAGAAGCCTGAAAATGTTCCTGTGCGGACGTGACCAAGGAACGTGCTGTGCGACTTTTTATGCTGCGACTAGAGCTCATGGCAAATTTAGCATAACAAAAGGTAACTAAACAAGTTTACAACGCAAAAGCGCAGCTATCTTTCATGTATAAAGGTTCATTATTTTTCACACCACTCAGTAAAAGAATAAATATTAATAACACTTAGTTTTAGTCACGCACGTTATTGTCGCGGAAATGAATGAGCCAAACGCTTGAGTGTCTTTGTACAACATTCATGCAACATGCCCTGAAATCCATTCCGTGTTTTAGTTCTTGGGGTCATTTTCCACCATTCCGTGTTTTAGGATTTGGGGTCATTTTCCGCCGTGCCGTGTTTTAGGATTTGGGGTCATTTTCCGCCATTCCACCGTTGCACCGTTCCGCTGTTCTTCCATTTTAGCTTTTAGGGTCGCCCTAAGTTTTGGGCCTTGAGTAACACTAGGTGAAGAAAGGTTTGCAGAGGATCACGCGCGTGGGAATTTCTCATAGCGTAAAAAGACGAAGAATTACACCTCCCTTTCAGGAAGGGCAATTTAAACGCCATAGAGTTGACGATTTGCAGTTCTCTAGGGAACAGAAGAGATCCACTAAACGAATTAGGGAAATAGTCTCGTTTTTGGTCGAGAAAGTTATTTCTTCCGCTGATATGTAAGCCGTAAATTTCATAGTAGGATGGTGGTGTCGCGAAATTCTTCAAATTCTTCTTTACGGCTTCCTTCTGCGAACTTTCTTTCGTCTTCTCATATGGAACGCCAGGACTGTCGTATGTCAATTGTCATTATTATAAGCTATGCTTTTGTCTTTATATGCAGTCCAACTATCGTTGCATGCATTACGATTGTCATTATATGCAGTACGATTGTCGTTATATGCATTGTGTTAGTCGTTATACGCAGTGCGTTTGTCCTTATATGCAGTGGGTTTGTCGTTATATGCAGTACGTTTGTCGTTATATGCAGTGCGATTGTTGTTATATGCAGTACGTTTGTCGTTATATGCAGTACGTTTGTCGTTATATATGCAGTCCGTTTGTCGTTATACGCGGTACATATGTCGTTGTCAGGCGAACTGTTGTTATGATCTATCCACAATTGAAATCACTCGTATCGGATCCAAGCTCCTCGCAGCCTGACGCCGCCATTTTGTTTGTTTTCGTGGGAGAGTTGAAAGCTAAAAAAGATAAATGGAGGACAAAATGGAGTCGTTGGCCTGTATCCTCAAACGACTAAAGTTAGGTCATTTAACGGAAATCTTCCAAAGGAAAAAAGTCACCCCAGATATAGTTTCACATTTATCCGTGCATGAAATGAGTCAATTACGTGTGAAGAACAGGAAAGACATGATGAAGTTGCGAATGGAATGCTCAACTTTCGGAAACCGTACCCCTCGGAGAGTCGTTTTGGGATGTAGAGCTTCTTCGTTCAATATCCC